TACCTTTGACAATTGTTCATCACCAAGATCATCACATGATCCAACATAAAGTTGGTTTGAAACATGTGCAAGATGACATAAAATTTCTGTTTTGCTATCCTAACATCGACAGAAAATTGTTGTTGGGGGGTGGGGGAGGGGGGGGAGTGGGGGGCTTTTGATTCTTCAGCTGTTGGATCGTGATTCGTGATGTTGAAAATTGTAAGGGGGCTTTTGATTTTTCAGCCGTTGGATGTGATTCGTGCTGGCAGGGGGTGAAAATTTTTCGCATGCGAGGGTAATTGAACTCAGGACGAGGGCCTTGCAAGCCTTCGAAGCTAGCTAAAAGCCTTTGGTGCTAAGATCAGTAGAAAAAAAATCAACCTTGACCTTGTGTTTACTGATGGAACAAGGAAAGAAATAAATAAATACTGGGATAAGCCTTGCCGAGAAGACGCCGCTATTCCTCTAGAATCAGAGTGAATTTGTAAGTCAAAGGGTAAATTTCAAGGCACCTTAGAACAAAAATGACAGAGTGAATGCGCTCATGTACAAAATTAGCTACCCCCCAAAAAAAAAAAGCAATGAACTAATTTGCACCGAATATCTTGCACCTAATCATACACACCTGCCAAATTCTTATATCGCCAATACAAATTACTTTTCTTATCATATTGCTACCATATAAATTTAAGCATTCTTGATTACCATTAATTTGCAATCCATTCAAATTTCACCCAAATCATACATATCCAAAGATGAACAGAGCGATGCCCACTATAAAACCCATATCAAATCGGACAATGATCATGAAGTGCTTGGGACAACATTATGCGAACACTATCCCATCTCTCAACTCATTGCTTGCAACCACTCTCAGATTTGTTTGCTGCTGCTGTCCCTTGTCCATGTGGCACAATACTCAGGTAACTATACTTTCCATATCACATCTAACTACACACTCATCTCTCATCCCTCTTTCTTTCTTTCTATATATATATATATATATATATATATATATATATATATATATATATACACATATGTCCCATTTAGAACACGAGGATTTTTCTCAGTTTTTTTTGCGAAAATCAAAACATAAAATTAATTTCCGTGTTCCAAACACAACCTACATTTTTCAATATTACTTTCTCCGTCCTAAAATATAATAGATTTTAAACAGATGAGATACAACAAATTTAGACATGAAGGTTGTTCAGATTCATAGTATTAAAAAATATCTTATCAGTCTAAACTTTTTTATATTTTAGGACGAAAGAAATACTACGTATGACCAATGTCACCTCCTTATGGCTAATGTTTCTTTCTGATGTTTCTGATGTTTTTTCTTTCTTTTTTTTTTCTTGTCGTTGTGTTGCAGATATGGCGACCAAGTTGATAGCAGATTATGATGGTGGCCCACCGGTGAGGAGTATCAAAGCAGGGTCTTGCAACTATATCCTGTACCCAGGCAGCGCGTGTTTTCAGGACACGTGCAACACGTTCTGCCAACGCATGCAGGATTCAGCCACACGACAACGTGTCCGCCTCTGGCCTCTGCACTTCCCAGGGATGCGAGTGTGTATATTGTCCTAATTAACCAACGTTAAATATTAAAAAATAGAGAAAGTAACTCTTTAAAAACAGAACAATATGTAATGATACTGATAGTTCTAAAAGAAAAATACTGCTACACTATGAGCAAATTTGTAGTTGGTGTTGGGCATTGATGCAACACCATTGATAGTTGATACTGGAAATTTAGGAAAATAGCACAAATGTTGCTATTATCTTAAAAACAAGAATTAAATGAGTTGCTGTTTTTGTGCCTGTGAATTCTGTGCCAAAGATTTTAGAGACTGATCCTGAGGATGTTCCAGTCATGTTGTGAATTTCAATTCTGAGCTCAAGAATGACACAAGGCCGTACCTGACAGATTTAGATAATTAATTATTATGTGCTTTAATCTTAAGGCAAACTTAAGAATGATCGATCTTAGGTTTAAAATCGTCAGCATGTGCTTACCAAGAAAAGAATTGTAAACAAACTTATGAATGACAACGGCCAGACTTGCATACTTAAACTAAAGCTCAGTTTGTCAAAAAGTACTACCCATTGCAGTTGAAAAGTCAAGCTCGATGATCAATGGAGCATTCCCATAGCCATGAAAATCTCAACCGGTTTACCCAAAATTTGAGCGTTCACTAGTTTTTTCTCCGTAACAATGTGGGTTGTAATTTGTAAATTGATTACCATAACACAAAGGTGTTCATCAGCGCCCAGATCATCGACGTCATACTTAAAGGCATCACGTACGTTTTGTTGGGTCAATCTGAATCTGAATCATCAATAATCTTCATGTTTTCTTCAGGCCGGTGAATTAGCAGCGGTGATCCAAGCCATGAATCCCGATGAATACGAGACCATCAGACCACGATGGGGACGACGACGATCAGAGCGAGCAGAGGAGGTTGCGTCAGAATTCAGAAATTGGACGTCAGAGTGCACATGGCCAACCTATCAGTTCAGAGAAAACATGCCGGCTTTTCGTCAGAATTAGGTTCACCCATCAACAGGTTGAGACAATAATCTACTGGTACAATAATGTTGCTTAATTAAGTTCAGTGAGAAGTAGCTACTGAAATTCACAAATGATTATCAAGCAACAGCAGATTGAACAATAAGAGATGGTGAATTGTTTCAGATGGCCTTGTAGCTAGGCCTAACGTTATACTTCAGTGATCTCTCTTAATTGTAAATCTGTCAGTATCGATGAGTTCTTGAAGTACAATTTTATTATTGTTGCATCCGTGAAATTGAAGTATACATTCAGAACACGAGGACATATTCAAAACAGTTCGTACATGCACGACAGCACGAGTGTCCAAATTCTATTTCAACATGGCCAAGTAATTCATGTTCTACTAACTAGCTCACAAAGCTAACTTTTTCATTAAGATGGATGGTCAGACTAGCTAATTATCGACACCATGAACACAAGAACCAAGACCATGCATGCATTATCGATCCATGTGTATTAACTAGTATATAGATAAGAATCAAATACAATCTTGTTAGTTGGATTAGTCAATGGCTCAATGCCAATGAGCTACAAAAAAAGGGCTTACATGTAGTTAGCTGCTGACCGGATACAAAAGGCTCCAGATCTCCAACATTGTGTTACCTAACGAGGATATAAACTCCACAATCCTTTTTTTAGCTTTGCATGTGATTGTCAGCTAGTATGAAGTTCAAAAAAAACAAATTAATATACAATTGCAAACCCAAATTTAATTATATTGGGTCAACTCTGTAAGCTGCACCAGCAGCAATGACCACGCAGATTGATATTCAGAACTGCGTACAAAATCATGTTATCTGTCGTCGGTTACTCCCACTGCTTTCGAATTACAATCATTTTATATTTGTCCTAATCAACCATTCCAATTTTTTACTATTAATTTCTACAAGCTTATAAAGTTTAATCTATAGGATTTATATTTTTAGATTTATCATTTTTATATTATATTGTTTACATCTTGTTAAGCTACATGGATTTTTAAAAATTAATAATCAAATATAAATATATTTGATTTAAGATAAACAAAAACGAGAAGTAATTTGAACATAGCCTTATCTGTCGCATCTAATTAAAGATAATTAAGATCATAGACAAAGCGGACATAAGAGGAGCATCTGCTCTGCGCAGATCTTAAGTTCTCAACTAGATAAGTCCATATGATTCCTTGCCATTATCTGAAAAAAATATATATATGCATGATTGCTTGCGTCTGCTAACTGTCTACTTGATCCATGTTGGTGTTTACTGTGCACAGCATTTTCAGCGTATATTAATCAGTTTATTAATTGACAAACTCACTATTGAGAACTTAAGATGACGCTGGAGTAGTTTGTTATAGTTAAAGAATGTTATAGTCGCTCTTCAATAATGGCTCTTAAAAATATGTGTGAAAAGGTCATATATATGCAGTGTTTGAAATTTTGGGAACGAAATTTCTGGAAATTTCGGAAATTTTGCCCCCCACCAAAATGCTAACATCTCGCCCAAATTTCGGTTTTTTGCAATTTTTTTATGAATTTGGTCAAATTTTATTTAAATTTATTCAAAATCCGTCAAAAAATAAAAAAAATTCGTACGAAATTTATCCGAAATTCCAGAAATTTCGGTTCTATCACTCAGCAGCGGCAGAACTGCTGCTTCCGAAATTTAAAACCCTGTATATATGTTCAAACAAAGTTGAATCGACTGCCACACTTTATTGATTTAACCGGTGTAGTTTAAAAGCATATATTTGACAAACCATTACTTTTTTTACTGATAGAATAGGCATGATGCACATGAGCAGGTTAATTTATGCAATTAACCGTGCTATCACGAACCACCTAATACCATGATAAATTACTGTCTCCATCGCTCCATGGAAAATAAAAAGAAATGACCAAAGGTTGATCCGGAGATCAATCCAGCTTTATAGGAAAGCCAAAGACGGTTCACACAAAATTTCAATCTCCCAAAAACGGTGACTGATTATATAATTGTTCCAATAGAACATATATTCTATTATAAGACGCTTTAACTTTTTTAATCAAATATTTTTAAGTTTGATTAAATTTATAGGAAAACATAGTAACATTCTCAACGTAAAACAAATATTATTAATATGTATTCAATATTATATTTAATAAAATTAATTTGGTGTTGTAGCTAGTGCTAAATTTTTCTATAACTTTAATCAAACCTATAAAAGTTTGAAAAGAAATCATGATGTCTTGTAATATAAAAGAAACAAAGAATTTACTAGCAACATTCAGTAGACATTAGACCATATGAAACATGAGACACAGAAAGGCAGTGAAAAAAGGAAGAAGATTCTACCTGTCGATGATCAGTTGCCAACTCTGATGACTGACTGACCAGTGACCACAGCCCCGGTTAGCTGGCGATGCTGCAAGACTAATCAAGCAAAAGTCTTGAATAATCTTTTCTCTGGTCCTGCTTCATGCTTGTGTGCATAGATAAATAGGTAAAGGCTGGCAGAACCCAGACAGAAAGCACAAGATCCGAGGAGCAGATCGACCAAAAGTTTCTGATCCCCTCTTCTTCTCGCTTGCTTCTCTCCTACTCGATCAATCTCGCTAGAGCTTCTTGCTTGCTTTGATCTCTCGAGCCTCTAGCCTAGCTTAGCTAGCTAAGCTAGCTACTCATCAGTGTCCTAAGTAGAGTTGCTAGCTAGCTAAGCATGGCGAGCAATGGCGAGGCGACGACGGGGAGCGAGACGGCGGCGCCGGCGCCGGTGCCGGAGCCGACCCCGCCGCCGTGCCAGGGGAGGCTCATCACCGTGCTGAGCATCGACGGCGGCGGCATCCGCGGCCTCATCCCGGCCACCATCCTCGCCTGCCTCGAGGCCAAGCTCCAGGTATATACGTAGCAAGAACACACACACACTGCTGCTAGCTCATCAGCTGATCAGCTCAGCTATGGTGAAATCAAATGCTGATCTGCAAGGAACGGAACAATCGTGTGTTCAACAGCGAAAACATAGTCGCTACAATAGAGAAGAGTCAAGGGATCGATGATATCAAAGGGGATCGCAGACCGTCCATCAGAGATGCATTGATGATAGTGAATCCAATAAGATGTCGTCCCTTGACTGATCTTGATCCCTATTGCTACACCTAAACTATTTGGAACATCTAAATCCCTGGTTTTAATATAAATGATACAAGGTTTTCCGTATTCGGAAAAAAAATATGATGATTAATTTGGTGATGATTAATTCAGGAGCTGGACGGGCCGGAGGCGAGGATCGCGGACTACTTCGACGTGATCGCCGGGACGAGCACCGGGGCGCTGATCACGTCCATGCTGGCGGCGCCGGACGACGACCGGCGGCCGCTCTTCGCCGCCGGCGACCTCACCAACTTCTACCTCGAGAACGGGCCCAAGATCTTCCCGCAGCGGAGGTGCGTGTCGAATATCGATCGATCTCTGTCTTTTTTTCAGAGAATCGATTCGCGATCGCATCACATGTCGATGATCATATCGCTGCATTTTTGTTGAATGCTAATGTTGATTCGTTCGTGACGGGCATATGCACATGCAGGTTAATTAATTCAAAGCTTTAAAACGATTCTTCTTTTGCGAGAAAAAAAGAAAAGAAATTTCTGAAGCTCTTGATATATATAGATCGATTGTTCTTGGTAGGACTTGCATCTGCCTCCTTATGCTCCTTGGTAGGAAAAGACTGGTCTATGTAGTCAAAACTATCATGACATATGGCATCATCTTTGTCACTCCTTTTTATTGATTCGAAGTCACATAACCACACTTAATAACCAGTTTTTTATTCGCAAATAATTGCTTGTAGTTTTGCCATGTTACCTTTATGCTACAGAGAGTTTTGGTTAGAATTTACTTTCTTTTCTAGATAATAGAATATTTTGTTCATATGGCTGGAATTTACTTGGGTCAGGCTATGATTTGCTTGCTTCCACAAATTGTTTTTTTTTTGTTTGGGGGGGGGCAGACGAATTAGGATTTTATTAAGCCGTTTGTGAACTTGTTATGTCACTTCACCACTCTGTTTTGTCCTCTCTTTTTTTTTTCTGCCTACGAAGGAAAGTGACCAAATCAGATTAGAACAAAGGAGTTAAAAGGTGTAGTACGGAGTACACATTGCAAAAGACAACAAACGTGGTTGTTGGGAAAAAAGCACATGCTAAATAACAGTGCTAGACTTGACCTCTTTCCAAATATTGACACTGGTTGATGACCTGTCATACAAAAAAAAGAATTATTCCAGGGATATAAGTACTGCAATTATTTTGTGTACTGCTATCTCCCTTTCTAAATATAAGTATTTTAGTTGACAGTCTCAGAAATGCTCCTATATTATTACTATAAGAAGTATTGATAAGAGCTATAATTTCAAATACTATGGTGACATCGAAAACAATTTTTTTTAAAAGAGCAATTAAGTAATTATATAAGGTTTTGTAGGGTTGGGTTCTTGACACCAGTGGCAAACCTGATCGGCGTGGTGAGGGGGCCCAAGTACGATGGCTCGTTCTTGCATGACAAGATCAAGAGCCTTACGCATGACGTTACCATCTCAAACACGGTCACCAACATCGTTGTACCGGCTTTCGATGTCAAATACTTACAACCCATCATCTTTTCCACCTATGAGGCCAAGAATGAGCCCCTCAAGAATGCCCACCTCTCCGACATCTGTATCAGCACGTCAGCAGCGCCGACATACTTCCCCGCGCACTTCTTCAAGACCACCGACGTCTCCTCCGGCAAGTCTCGGGAGTTCCACCTCATCGATGGCGGTGTCGCTGCAAACAACCCGGTACTGAGCACATACCATTTAATACAAGAAATTTTACTTCTCTAAGAGGTTAAAATTGTTGATATCAAAATTTACATCAGAAGATGGGATACCTTCTAATATCTTCTTAGTCACCGTAAAATCACTCGTTTAGTATACCTTCAATCTCAAAAGGCAAAAATATCAATTGTGAATTGTTGGTACCATCTCCTCCTGAACACAACTTTGACCATTTTATTGAGTGCTCATGCATGCAGACAATGGTAGCCATGTCTATGATCAGCAAGGAAGTGTTGCGTGAGAACCAGGACTTTAAATTGGGTAAGCCAGCAGATTACAAGCACTACCTGGTGATCTCAATCGGGACAGGGACGGCGAAGATGGCGGAGAAGTACACCGCGCCGGCATGCGCCAAATGGGGTGTGCTCCGGTGGCTCTATGACGGCGGCTTCACCCCACTCATCGACATCTTCACTCATGCTAGTGCTGACATGGTCGACATCCACGCGTCCGTTCTCTTCCAGTCTCTCTGCTGCGAGAAGAGCTACCTCCGTATTCAGGTGACTACCATGGTTTGAAATTTCGTTAATTTTGGCCCCCACTGACAAGCACAAATCTCCCCGAAATTTTTGGTTTTTTATCAAATGTTTGTAAATTTAGTCAAAATTTAACAAATTCAATCAAAATACGTTAAAATTAAAATATTTTTGGTAAAAAAATGGAAATCACGAAATTTTCAAATTTCTGGCAACCAAGGCGGCAACCGAAATTGCAAACCCTGGTGACTACTCCCTCCCTCTGTTTCAAGTTATATGTCGCATTGATTTATTTTCCTAATCAAACTTGTTTAGGTTTGATCAAATTTATAGAAAAATAAAGTAACATTTCCAATACAAAATAAATATATTCAACGTAATATTTAATGAAACTAATTTGGTGCTGTAAATGTTACTATTTTTTTTATAAACTTGGTCAAATCTAGAAGTTTGACTACGGAAAAAGTCGAAACGACTTATAATATGACACGGAGGAAATAGCTATATATTAAGTTGCATACTATTATCGGTCTACTTGTATCATTACATTAATATACTTCTAACACCAGTAAAAATTAACCTAGCTACTAACCGACCAACTAGTTCACCCAAAAGCTTCTATATTTTCATCTTCTCGTAGTCGTGACACTAAAATTGAGTGTTCGTGTATATAGGACGATTCGCTGGAGGGGCACACGTCGTCGGTGGACATCGCGACGAAGGAGAACATGGAGGCACTGATCAAGATCGGCAAGGACCTTCTGACTAAGCGAGTGGCGAGGGTGAACATCGACACCGGAGTATACGAGCCCGTTGATGGAGAGGGCACCAACGAGGAGGCACTCGCTCGCTTTGCCAAGAAGCTCTCAGAGGAGAGAAGGCTACGCAGAAACAACCTCAGTTCCTCTTGAGCTGAGCTAAAGCTAAGTTAGCTAGCTAGCTCAGTTCTAGCTAAGCTAAGCTAAGATGTAAAATTAAGTAATACAGCCTGTGATGTAGTAAGTGTGATGTGGGTGAGGTATTATGCATATTGTAATAATGTTGGTTTGGTTTTCAATAATTAATCAGCATGTGTTTATTTGAGCCAGCTGGGACCGCCAAGTGGCAAATGCCATTATTTTAGTTTTGCATCTATCAGCGTCAGTCTAGCTACCTAGTGCCAATCGGTCATTGATTTTTCAGAAGCTGACCAATAATGCACAAACACATGAGACCACACACAGACAGACAGGCAGAGATGATGCTGAATATAATCCAGAGAAGATCGATCATTCAGATCTCTAGCTCGGCGACAAACTACTACTTCCTCTGTTTCATAATATAAGTCATTCTAGTATTTCCCACATTCATATTAATGCTAATAAATCTAGATATATATGTATATATATAGATTCATTAGCATCAATATAAATATGGAAAATGCTAGAATGACTTAGAATAGGCATGATGCACATGTGCAGGTTTATGCAATTAACCATGCTACCACGAACTACCTAATACCATCATAAATTAGTATCTTCATCCCTCCATGTCAAATACTACTATTTTTATAACAAGCAAGGGAATTTACTATTCGCCTTTCAGATGGTACTCCAACTTATTTTTAAATAGATGATACTACTGACTTCTAGATAAATTTTTTTTTGACTATTTCTCTTATGAAAGAAATAATGTAATTATTCCCTCCAGTCATAAATATATATTTAACGTGGTTGACTTTGACCTTAAAGTTTCATCATTTGTCTTATTGTGCGAGTATGAAAAAAATATAAATCATACTTAAAGTATCTTTTTATAATAAAATTAAGTCATAGTTAAAATTATAAAATATTTTCAATAATATAAATATCCAAACGTATATTTAAAAGTTAATATCGTCATCTATTAAAAACCGGAAAGAAACGCTTCAGCACGTAGACCCTCAATCTCAAGCATTTTGCTGTTGAATTTTTTTTCCTCAAAATAACCCTAATTTTCTTTCATTTTGCAGGAATAAGATACAACCTGAAAAAAAAAAGACCAATGATTGATCCGAAATCATTCCAGCTTTATACGAAAGCCAAAGATGGTTCGCACAAAATTTCAGTCTCCCGAAGGTTTCACATTTTCGCCTAATGGTTGGGTGACTGATTATATCATTGTTCCAATAGAACATATATTCCATTACTCCCTCCAGTTTATAGTATAAGACTCTTTAACTTTTCTAATCAGATATTTTTCAGTTTGATTAAACTTATATAAAAGCGACTTATATCTTTACATTTCAACTTATGAATGAAACATTTGATGTAACATATGAAACATCAAGTTCCGCCGAATTGAAATACCAGCACATCTAGATCGACCATGGACAAAGTTATATATGGAACACCATAAAAAACCATTGCAACATTTCAATTCAACACAAAAGAACATCAAGTTACACCAGCTGAAACATCAAGAAATCACACTCGTCCACTTTACTCGTGCTCTTCTCTTGAGTGTTGCTGACAGTGAGGCATCGACGTTCACGCCGACCTCCTCGAACAGGAAAGAAGAAAAGGGTCATCACTGCTCGTATCTGCGAGCTCGACAAGAAGCTCGAGGCATGCCATCGCGTCCACAACATCTTCCCTATTGACGGGCACCACACCGTCGTCGAGCGCCGCCTCCAGGTCCGGACCTCCCTCTCCCATAGCTTCCTGCATACAGCAAAGGATGGAGATCGATGAGAGGAGAAAGAGATTTTTTTAGATAATGGATTATATTAAACCTGGCCTCTACACCTTGCGAGGGTGTACACAGCCAAAACCATAGTCACGAGTACAAAAGACTCCTCCCATTACATAGGGACACACAAATAAAAGTTTAACAAACGATTAAAGAGAAATGGAGGCTAAACTTCAATTCTTCTTCGAAAATTCCATCCAAAGGTAGAGAAGAACTCCATAACTCGCTTCTCCAAAATTCTGCACTTGACTTGAGCTTCTTCTCCTTCAACTTTTTTAAGAAGCAAATACCAAAACCTTGCCCAATGAGTTGCCTTGAATATTACCTGTAAGAAAGAAATATGATTGTAGCCGTTAAAGACTATGTCATTCCTACTAAGACACAAAGTCCAACAAATTGCCACTATGCCCTCCCAAGTTTGTCTTTTGAGTTTAGGTTCAAAACCATTCAACCAATTACCAAACATATGAGTGCAACTTCTAGGTTGTATAACCACGAAAGTAAAATAAACCGCACTCCATATGTATCTAGCCAGAGATGGGTTTTTTTTTCTGACATTCAGAAAGAGATGAGTTGATAGTAATGGAGAGAGAGGGGGATGAAATAAAGCCTAGTTTACGAAAAACCTATCGCGCGATCGATCGCCCCAGGCGATCAGTTCCCCTCCCCCACGCAGTTTCTTTTTTTTGGCACTGCGCACCCTATTTTAATAAATTTGTACACCTAAAGTTTGTATACTTCAAGTTTACACATCTAAAGTTTATACACCTAAAGTTTAGAGACACAAAGTTTATAAGTCAAAAGTTTATATACCCGTTTCAAATTTGAATTTGAATTCAAATATTTTTTATATATAGTATTTCTATACATCTAAAGTTTATACACCTAACGTTTATAATTAAGCCAAAAGTTTATATACCTGATCAAATTTGAATTTGCATTCAAATATTTTTTTATATATAGTATTTCTATACATAAAGTTTATACGTGCGAAGTTTACGGTATAAAGTCTATACATAAGTATAGAGTCTATGCACATAAATAAGAGTATTAGATTTTTTTTTCTATTTTTTTAACTTTTTTCTAACTTTGTTTTTTTGTTTTTTTAAAATTTATGGTGTAGTAGGAAGAGAAGAAGGGGAGGAGGAAGGGGGATAAGAGCGTGTTAGGGGAGGGATGGGGGATGATTGCCCACAACGATCACCCGCCCATTAGCGACGCCCCTGATTTAGTTACCAATATTTTTTTATCAAAAACGTCACATCGAATCTTTGGATATATGCATGGAGCATTAAATATAGATAAAAACAAAAACTAATTGTACAGTTTGCATGAAAATCGCGAGACGAATCTTTTGAGCCTAATTAGTCCATGATTAGCCATAAGTGCTACAGTAACCCACATGTGCTAATGACGGCTTAATTAGGCTCAAAAGATTCGTCTTGCGGTTTCCAGGCGAGTTATAAAATTAGTTTTTTTTATTCGTGTCCAAAAACATCTTTCGACATATCTGATGTGACACCCAAAAATTTTCATTTTGCGAAATAAACAGGGCCTAAGTAGATAAGAATGGATAGGATGGGTACATAAAGCTGCCTAGGATGCTGAATGAATGAAAGACTTGGATTGAATCAAGTGGTTTTAACTGTTGGTTTTAACTTGGATTGAATCAATTTGATTGTACTGTCGGGCGCCGGGGCCTGATCATTTTCGTAATCTTCTCTCTGGTCATGCTTGTGTGCATAGTCAGTACTCATTATTTAACTCTAATTATTGAGTTTATAAATAGAGATTTGCTTCGGTAAAAAAAAAAGTACCTCGAGGTTACCAGAGTAAATCTCTTATAAATAGGCAAAAGTTGGGAGAACCCAGACATAAAGCATGCGAGAAGCAGATCTCCGATCCCCTCTGCTTCGCTTGCTTCTCTCCCGCTCGATCAATCTCACTTCTTCCTTGCTCTGATCTCTCAATTAAGCCTCTAGCTACTGATCAGTCCTAAGCTAGCAGCAGGTAGGTGTCAGAAAGGTGGTGGCTAGCTTTCATGGCGAGCAATGGCGAGGCGACGACGGAGAGCGAGACGGCGGCGCCGGCGCCGGTGCCGGAGCCGACCCCGCCGCCGTGCCAGGGGAGGCTCATCACCGTGCTGAGCATCGACGGCGGCAGCATCCGCGGCCTCGTCCCGGCCACCATCCTCGCCTGCCTCGAGGCCAAGCTCCAGGTATATACGTAGCAAGAACACACACACACTGCTGCTAGCTCATCAGCTGATCAGCTCAGCTCAGCTATGGTAAAATCAAATGCTGATCTGCAAGGAAGGGAACAATCACCTCACTACTATAGAAAGACATATTCAGGACGGTATCATAGGTGTCGAAATAGATAAAATTGGTATCTATAATATTTTTCACACCTCCATATGTTGAAAAAAAAAACTAAAACATTTAAGCGACTATATATATCGGTTCTATAGAAAAACCGACACCTATACTAAGTACCGGTTTTTTGTCCTTATCTTATCGTAGCTGTTAATTAATTAAATAACCGGCACCTATAATAATTGTTGGTTTTAAAAAATATCGATACCCGTAAAAACAAAGCCGAGCTGACTGCCCTTCCTTATCCTCCCAAGTAGATAAAGACCTCACTCCCGCGCCTCTCTCTCTCTCTCTCCTCATGCGTGGCGGCGGTGGGAGGGGAACCAGCAACAGGGGCACCTCTCTCCCTACCCAGGCAACGGCGGTGCCCTCCCTTCCACCAAATCAGGCGGGAGGGGAGGCGGCGGCAACAAAGGTTGGTAGAGGGAGGGGAACTTGCAGCAGGGATGATGCCCTCCCCTCCGTCAAATCCGACAGGAGGGGAGGCGGCGGCGGTAGGGGCACCTCCCCTCCGACAGATCCGGTGGGAGGGGAGGCAGTGCCAGCTATGAGCAATGGCAGAAGGGGAGTCGGCTGTGATAGCAGCAGCGCCCTCCCTGACTTCAGCCCATTCTTTATGTTATGAGTGTTCTTAGTGTTGGACTTTTTTAGTGTTTGGTATTCTTGAGTTCTTGGTTGTTCTTGTGTTTTTTGATTAAATGTTATATACAATTTTGATTCGAGCCGATGCATCGAGTTGGGTATTTTTTTTATTTGTAGAACCTTAAAAGTGTCGGTTCCTAAACCGGCAACAGAACCTAAATCCGACACCTTTGTGGGGTTTCCAACCGACATCAATTAAAGTTTTTTAGTAGTACACGTTCAAGGGCGAGACGAAAGATCATGCGGGAGGTGGCGGAGCTTACGGCCATGAAAGCCGCGCTACAATGCGAGATAGGAGTGCCCATCTAAGTGGTGTACCTAAGTGGTGTACGTACTCGGTCGTCCCTGGAGTTGCGAGAGATCAACCTTCGAAAAAAACAAGATCGATTTTCTTTTTCTATATGTACATATAGCTGCTAGTACACTACCTATATGAATCATCTAAATCTCTGATCTTAATACAAATGATACACATTTTATGTATTCGCGAAAAAATCATGATGATTAATTCAGGAGCTGGACGGGCCGGAGGCGAGGATCGCGGACTACTTCGATGTGATCGCCGGGACGAGCACCGGGGCGCTGATCACGTCGATGCTGGCGGCGCCGGACGACAACCGGCAACCGCTCTTCGCCGCCGACGACCTCACCAAGTTCTACCTCGAGAACGGGCCCAAGATCTTCCCGCAACAGAGGTGCGTGTCAATCTCCGTCAATTATTTTTTTTAAATATAAAGTGAATTGTACAACTTTCTTCGTCACCTTAAATTTTTGAGTTGAACCAGTCGGTGCATGCAAGTCAATATATTTTTCCCGAGAATCGATTCGATCACATGTCCATCGCTGCAATTTGGTTGCGTGCTTGATTCATTCGTGACGGGGCATATGCAGGGTTCACACTTCACAGCTTTAAAACGACATTTCTGAAGCTCTTTGATCTATCGATTGGTCTTGGTAGAACGCAAAATTCTAAAATCGCAGATTATAATAACTACACAAGAAGAGGAAAAATACAGAAATATAATATCACGCTACGTAGAATTGTATAGGATTCTGAAACACAAGAATAGTGGAGTTGGTCCCTGTGGACAGATTGCAGGGAGTGAACACATAAATTTCGAAGGAACTTGCGGATGACAGAGAAAGAAGAGTGATAAAGGGAGAAAGTGTATTGTACTTCTTAGAAAAAATTCCTATAAAATAATTATTTTTCTATGGAATTAGGGGGCAAAGGAGGTCAATTCTTAGGAATTTTGGCATCTTATTCCTTCGTTCCAAAGAACCCATATGAAAAATTTAGCAAAGATTCGGGTTATCCACAAATATTAAGTTCCTTCAATCCAAATGGGCCTTTAAAATTTTCGAATTTGTTTGGATTTAATAAGAATCTCTTTGAAATTAGTAAAAACATGTTCAAACTTAAAAAAAATCTTTCAATTTTCTGATATTTAGTCCCCTGATTTTCTTTTTGAAACGTATAATTAAGCTGGAGAGGAAAAAAATTTAATGGTTGTGCTAGTGGACGACAATTGGAGGTTTGGAACCGTTTAGGTTAATCGGTATTTAGTGGGCGATAGGTACTAAAGACACCGAAGGCTCATCTGCTTTTAGATTACGAAAAGACTGGTCTGTGTAGTCAAACTATCATGACATGGCATCATCTTTATCACCCCTTTTATAATTTTGTTGATTTTTTTCAAGAAACACAACAAACAACAAACGCACGCAGACAGTTATAACGCACGTGCACTTATCTATAAAATAAGCGCACACACATCTTACTTTTATGAGCATCTTTTAAAAAAATTTGAATCATGTCTCGCTATTAACGGATACATCGTTTATCATTAAAATAATAATTAGTTATAAATGCTTCTTGCAGCCAGGTGATCACCAGGTTTTTTATTTGCGAATAATTGCTTGTACTCATTTAACCACACTTAGTAACCTGTTTTTTATTCGCAAATAATTGCTCGTAGTTTTGTCGCGTCACCTTTAAGCTTCAGAGGATTTTGGTTGGAATTTACTTGGGACAAGCTACGGTTTTTCATGATTCGATCTTCAGATGGGTCTAGGACTGTAAGGTTATGAGTAGTAATGGATTCGTCAACCTAGATGAAGCAAAATACATGCATTTTTAAGCGGTTGTGATGTCACATCGCCACTCTGTTTTGTTTTGTCCTCTGTTTATAATCTGCCGGCGAAGGAACGTGACGAAATCAGATTAGAATAAAGGAGTTAAAAGGTACAGAGTACATATTACAAACGACAACAAACGTGGTTGTTTTTTTTTTTCGAAGCCTAAGGCGAAACTTTTTTCCACTTTTATAATTAGAAGAAGAGAATTGATCCAGTTTATAAGGAAAATCGAGCCCGAAAATCGTACAACTGCACAGTTAATTACAGGAAAACAGGTTGAAACCCACCGCTACAAAACTAACAACAACGGCGGAGTCTAAACACAGGGCGTCGCCGCCAGGCTAAACACAAAAGCGACACAACAGCTCCCACATCGCAGAAGAGGTGTTATCGTTGCCGAACTAGCCGCCCAAGCGATCCAGCAGCGCTGACTTCACAACCGCAGCGACATTGAAGGCACAAAGGTCGCCAAAGCGAAAAGCAGCTCTAACCTCCAACGATGGACATCAGCCAAGCCACCGAGGAGCCACATCCTTCACACGCCCAGCACCAGAACTCCTTGGAAGAGACTGCAACATGTCATCATTGCCAAACGTCGCCGCACCCCATCAGCGAGCAGCTTCAACTTCACCAGCATTGCCGCACCCCATCAGCGAGCAGCTTCAACTTCACCAGCAGAAACAACCGAAGAGTGTGTCGCCGGCCACAAGAATGAAGCAAACCCAAGAAGGCTAAGGCCTCGCCGAACAAGTTATGGGAGCTTTTGAACCGAAAAAGACCATCAACAGTCGTCGATGCGTTGGAACTTCTCCGAAGCGATGCCCCCAAGGAAGACACGATGCGTAGCGCCGCCACCGCTCGTTTGAATTCAGAATAAGGTTTTCACCTGGAGATTGTGGCGATATGAAAGAACGCCATGACAACGCCTCCAAGAAGGGAAACAGCGCCCACGGGCATCATCGTTGTCGAACTGGCCAAAGGCACGGCAAAGCATTCGCCAGCATCTTCACATCACCCACACAAACACCCCCATATCGATGGCCACAGAATAGTCCATGACGTCTAACAAGCAGTCATACCAACTCCACATCCGCACATCGCCACACATGAGCCACGAGACCCGCCACCGGCAGAAGAACCCCCTACCGAGCAGGAGGCTCGCCGCCAGCATGCAATCCCACCGAAGCCCGCCTAGGCGTCGTTGCGCGGCCACCGCGCTCGCCGAAGCCCACCCGAGCCGTGCAATGCCGCCACACGCAGCCATCCCACCAACCGGCTACCCTGGCTCCATCACCCACACTGCGACGCTGCCCCTCGCAAGCCGGTGACGTCCGCACCGCCGCAGCATCCGTTGTCGCCACAACCACACGCCGCCACGGACGGACGCCGAAGCTGACGCCGTGACCTCGGCGCGAGCGAGCCGCCGCTGCCAGCCGCGAATCTGACGCCCGCCCACCGCGACGCCGCCCCTGCCTGCCGCCGGTCTCCAGGCAGCCCGCCAGATCTGGCCGGAGCCGTCCCGAGTTTGGTCGCGGAAGCTGCTGCCGCCGCCACCTCCGGAGGCTCCCCGGCCTTTGCAAGCGTGTGGCCGCGCCGACCAGCCGCCGCCATTCCGCGTTGCCCGGCGCACCACGTCGCCTCCTCACGTTTCCCGTCGGTCGGCCACTGCCGATGCCCGCGCCGCCATCCTCGCCGGCCAAATCCAGCGGCGGTGGGCCAGATCCAGCCGTGTGGAGTCGGATCCAGCGGCGGCGGCGCCGGATCCCAGCCACGCGTCGCACCACCGCGCAGTTTCCCCGCCGCCGACATCCTGGCGGGCCGCGCGGTTTCCGGCGGCACGCTCCGGCGGCGGCGAGGCGGGGGAGAGGAAGGGAGGGTGGCGGCGGCCGGGGACTAGGGTTCGTCCCTGGTCTTCCGCGCGTGGACGACCGTGATCGTCGTTTCACTCAAGAGAAAAATCTTCATGCGAAGGGAATGTAGCCCGAGCCACAAACGTGGTTGTTGAAAAAAAGAGAAAAGGCACATGCCTTGCAAGACTCGATAACCAGTCAAATGTTAAGGGCTCATTTGAAATTTGAAACATATGATTGAGAAAATAGAGAAATAATAAAATATAAGATTTTATAGGAATATGAGTGTAAAACAAAGAATTACAAAACATAACACATGAAAAAACTTATGAAAAACTTAGGAATGACTGTTTGATTGGATCATAAGAAAAACATAAAAATTTGAGAAAAGAAAGACTCAAAGAAAAATTTTCATGATGTTCTATCTTATATTAAATTCCCTCCAAAACTTATGTAGAACGATGGAATTTCATAGGATTCTATAGGGTCCACTCCTTTAATTCAAAGGGCTATATAGAAAAAATCCAATATGAATTAAATCCTTTAAATTCCTAGCATTGGTTGATGATCAGTCATAAATATAAATTTATTCAAGGAGTATTAGTTCTGCAATTATATTGGTACTGCTACCTCCTTTTTTAAATATAAGCATCTATCTATTAACTTAATAAAGTAATAGAAAAAAACATCCACATTAACTCTCAACGTCTAGAAATTTTCATGTTAATTGGAGTAAAATTAAAAAATATATAGGAAGAACTCATTGCAGATAAGGACTCTTTCTTTTAAATTTTAGAAAGAAAAATCACGTTATATATGTGTAGTGACCGATCGACACCTGCACAAAACGATCAATCTTTTGCAAGGAAAAAAAAACTAAGCTTCTACATTAACCGTTACAACACAAATCACAAGTGTGATTGTCTGTGATAGGTAGTATCCAATATTGGCTCATTGCTCATCTCGATGTATTCCCTCTGTTGCAAGTTGCAACAAATCAAATCTCTAATGGCAGGTTCATATGTGAATCCTGATGCATTTATCTGTCTATCTATATTATCTTAACATGATAGAAAAATGCCACCATATTGGCTCCCACTTTCTTAAAATTCCCATATTAATTAGAGAAAAAGAAAAATTAATGTCCAAATAAAAATATAATTCAATATATCTGAAATTTGGAATAAAAAATTATCTTCAGCTACCTATAGAAAAAGAAAAGTATTTTGAAATAGAAATACAATTTAATATATCTGAAATTTGGAAAAAAGAATTTGAAGAAAATGTATGAGAAGTCTACGGGGTATAACTGTAAAAAGCAGGTAAAAAAATAGATGGCTAATAAAATGGTGCAGGGTGGGTCCACTTAAAGTAACAACGTTACTACAAGTTAAATACATATTCGTGTAGCAGCTAGGGGAGCGGGGTGGGAGGACAGGGCGTGGGGAGGGGAGGGGGGTTTTTCCCAGGGGGAGGGGGTTGTGGGTATAGTATAGTATAATATAGTGTGTGTGTCTATATATATATATATATATATATATATATACAGTGTTAACCGCGTAATCTGCGCGGGTCACCATGTTAGTTGAATTGATTATCTATTGATCATTACTGCATTTCAGAGATTATGTTGATGTCGAAAACAACAAATTTAATTTCGTCGCAAAGAGTTATTAAGTAATTATGTATGATTTTATAGGGTTGGGTTCTTGACGCCGGTGGCGAACCTGATTGGCACGGTGAGAGGGCCCAAGTATGACGGCTCGTTCTTGCACGACAAGATCAAGAGCCTTACCCACGATGTGACCATTGCCGACACAGTCACCAACATCGTCGTGCCAGCATTTGATGTCAAGTATCTGCAACCCATCATCTTCTCCACCTACGAGGCCAAGAACGAGCCCCTCAAGAACGCCCACCTCTCCGACATCTGCATCAGCACGTCAGCGGCGCCCACTTACTTCCTCGCGCACTTCTTCAAGACCACCAGCCCCTCCGGCGAGTCTCGAGAGTTCCACCTTATTGATCGCGGTGTCGCTGCAAACAACCCGATACCGAGCATATATCATTTAGTATGAGAAATTTAATTCTTTTAAGAGGTATCAAAATTTACATCAGAAGGTATGATACCTCCTAATATCTTCTTAATCACCATAAAATCACTCGTTTAGTATATATACCTTCAATCTCAAAAGGCAACATATCAATTGTGCACATTGTTGGTACCATCTTGAACACAACTTTGACCATTTGTTGAGTGCTCGTGCGTGCAGACAATGGTAGCCATGTCTATGATCAGCAAGGAGGTGTTGCGCGAGAACCAGGACTTCAAATTGGGTAAGCCAGCAGATTACAGGCACTACTTGGTGATCTCGATCGGGACGGGAACGGCGACGATGGCGGAGAAGTACACCGCACCGGCATGCGCGAAATGGGGTGTACTCCGGTGGCTCTACGACAGCGGCTTCACCCCACTCATCGACATCTTCAGCCATGCAAGTGCAGACATGGTCGACATCCATGCCTCCGTTCTCTTCCAGTCTCTCTCCTGCGAGAAGAGCTACCTCCGCATTTAGGTGACTACCATGGTTTGAAATTTTGGTTTGAAATTTCGGCCCCCACTGGCAAGCACAAATTTCCATGAAATTTTTGGATTATTTTTCAAATATTTGTGCATTTGGTAAAAAATTTTCGAAATTCAATCAAAATATGTTCAAAATTCAAATAATTTTGGTAAAAAAAACCCGGAAATCATGAGATTTTCAAATTTTCGGCAACCACGGTGGCAACCAAAATTGCAAACCCTAGTGACTACTCCCTCCCTATGTTTCATGTTATAAGTTGCTTTGATTTTTTTTCTAATCAAATTTCTTTAGATTTGATCAAGTTTATAGAAAAATATAATAATATTTTCAATACAAAATAGATATATTATCATAATATATTCAGCGTAATATTTAATAAAACTAATTTTGTGTTGTAAATGTTGCTAATTGTTCCTATAAATTTGGTTAAATCTATAGAAGTTTGACTACGAAAAAAATCAAAAACAACTTATAAAATATAACACGGAGGAAGTATTAGCTATTAAGTTGCATATGCACCCAACTATTATCGGTCTACTTGTATCATTACATTAATATACTTCTAACACCAGTAAAAATTAACCTAGCTACTAACCGACCAACTAGTTCACCCAAAAGCTTCTATGTTTTCACCTTCTCGTAGTCGTGACACTAAAATTGAGTGTTCGTGTATATAGGACGATTCGCTGGTGGGGCACACGTCGTCGGTGGATATCGCGACGGAGGAGAACATGGAGGCACTGATCGGGATCGGCAAGGACCTTCTGAAGAAGCCAGTGGCGAGGGTGAACATAGACACTGGAGTACACGAGCCCGTCGATGGCGAGGGCACCAACGAGGAGGCACTCGCTCGCTTCGCTAAGAAGCTCTCAGAGGAGAGAAGGCTACGCAGAAACAGCCTCAGTTCCTCTTGAGCTGAGCTAAAGCTAAGTTAGCTAGCTAGCTCAGTTCTAGCTAAGCTAAGCTAAGCTAAGATGTAAAATTAAGTAATTGCTGTGATGTCGTAAGTGTTTGTGGGTGAGGTATCATATGCATATTGTAATAATATTGGTTTGGTTTTCATTGCATTAATTGCATGTTAATATATATGTACTTAAGCAACACTGAAATCTATAATTAATCAGCATGTTTTTATTTTAGCCAGCTGGGACCGGCAAGTGGCAAATGCCATTATTTAATTTTGCATCAGCATCAGTCTAGCTAATAACCTAGTGCCAATCGGTCATTGAATTTTCAGAAGCTGAACAATAATGCAGAAACCCATGAGACCACACGCAGGTAGACAGAGATGATGCTGAATTCAGAGTAGATCGATCATTCAGATCTCTAGCTCGGCGACAGGCAACTTTTTCACCTTTCTCAGATACCCATGAGATGTAGCAAGCTTCATCTTCATCTTCTCCTCCTACCTCCAGAAAAGTTGTCTGATTCTCTCTACACTAGCCATGGATTTCCTGGCCCTGACAAGGTAACATGTGTGATGCAGCTGGCCCCACTGGCAGTGTCACATTCAGCTGGGTGCAGATCCATCCAATTCGATCACACTGTCAGCTCAGGGAATTGCAGCTGCTGCTGCTGATGCATGCATTGCATCCAAGAACGTCCCAAGAAATAAAAGCCTGCAACATCTTCAGTGGAACATATGGTCTTATAATGAATGTTCAGTCGTCTTCAGGCCACTTTCCTCCCATTCTAGGTTTCAAAGTGATTTTCTGTGTTTCGTTTTTTAGATGGTGGAAGTAATCGCTTCCGGCTTTTAACATCGAAATAACATACACATTTGCATTATTATAAGCATGTGCGAAAATTCATGAAATGTCTAATAAGCTAGAACAACTCGAAAATTATGCATCCCATGATTCTTTTTTAACTGCCATTCGTTTTTTTTTCAATAAGAAAGATGATGATTACATCCCGAGCCTCTGCAATACACCATTCATTAAGGTTGAAAACTTGATCTCGCATTACTTGCTCAAAGGGGTGGCTCACATCAACGGCCAAATCTAGCTCCCAGATTATAATTTACAATCTAGCAAGAAACTGCAGAAAAGAAAAGGATAAAAAGAGAAGGAACAGTGCTGTAAACTAAGACTCCATTATTTTTCCCTCTCCTCTGATCTTTGCCGTAGATTCTTGATCCGACGGTACGGGAGTGCGCACTGTATCCTCGTACCTCGTAAAGATGCACATCCAGTGGAACATGCAGAGGCTGATACTCTGATGATACTATCATTGGAAATGTTGCATGAGTCATTTGTGACAAGTGATTCAGACTTCAGGAGGGAGCAAAGTGCACTTTAATTTTTTTTTCATGCAGGCTTTGGTGCTCTAGTTTTCATTGCCTCAAAGTTAGATCAAGTTAAACTGTCGCTTTGGCACACAACCTGACCAACCCAATGCCTGCATATGCTTTACCAAATTGCTTTGCTTTGCTTTAGCATGCTTGTGATCAGTGCATCAGATCTACTAGCAGCTAGCTTGGCTTGCATATATTGGCCCCCCAACTCACTGTTGTTAATTGTTATTTTGCTCAGTGATCACAGTGTCAGTACTGCCACTCCATGATTAGTGGTACTATAGTAACCTCTTTGTACGGATCTCATGGTCCCATACATGCAGCAAATCATGGACCAAGATCACTACTATTGTAACCCTACCTAGCTACTTATGTGATCAGTTCGATTCTCAAGTCTCAACCACACATGAAACCATATTACAGGGGATCAGAGTTTGCACTTTCGATTTCGGTGAAAATTTCAGCAATTTCATCAACACCAAAATTTACAAACCAGGCGGAGATGAACCCCGTCTTTGAACATAGAGAGACGTTGAACTCTGTTGGATCGAATCATGTACAGTAACTGCAACTGCTGAAGAGAAGTACTAGGTGATTCTGATTCATGTTGATCTGTAATCAGTTGTGCTTTTGATTGGTAAACAATATGATGGATGAACAGAGAGTTGTAGCACTTTCTCGTATCTCAGTAAAGATTCTTCTTACTACTCAAGTAGCATTGTTTCTGGATCTCAGCTAAGTTCCATCTAGCTAGCTACTGCACCTCTGGATTTCTCATCTATCTAGGCACTGATCATCAACAGATGGCACAAGGACAAACAAATTAACCGGGACCGGCCTCTGCTGCTGCAATCTACTGTTCGCTCACAAGAATCTCTGCGTGCTGCTTGGCCCTGTCTGTGTAAGTGTAATGTATTTGCTTGCTTCTGAATAATTTTCTGAATGAAGTGTAGCTTCACCTTTCGTGTTCTTTGTCTTGCTGTAAATTTCAAGCCCGTTTCCTAAGGCTTTTTAGCAGGATTTGACTGCTGATGCTACAGCTCTCCAGCTTGACCACCGGTATCACCTTGTATGGTAGTGACTGGACTGGCTATGGTAGGGACTGGAGAACAAGAGAGCAGATATCTGTGGACAAATTAGTGCAGATAATAATGAGATAATGTTGCATTCTTGAGGTGTAGTTTTTGCAGCTTAAACCTTCTCTTTTTTAACAATTATTTTATGAATGGACTCTTATGCCCCCCTTCGTTTCAAAGGTTTTATGGAGGAATCTTTGTAGGATTCAATTTTATAGGGCTTTTTTTTTTCCTATTTTGTCCTATCAAATAAAGGATTGGAGCTTCCCAGATTATGTAAAATTCGTAAGGAATGGCTCAATGCATATATATTATAGAGAAAAGTTAACAATAGCTCCAACATTTTGGAAAATTTTCTTTGAATCTATCTCTTATTTAACTTTTGTGTTTTTCCTTTAGTCTATTTAAAATATTGTTTCTATTTTTTCTTGTGTTTTATATTTTTTCTGTTCTGCACTTGTTTTCTAGTAAAAATCCCATGTTTTTCTTGTTACTCCGTGTTCTCAATTATATGTTTCGAAGGATCAAAGAATCTTTAGATAAACCTTTTTTAGGAATGGCCCCTCGGATCGGTATCAGAGCCATTGGCATCAACAAATAGCGAGTCATTATCATAGTGAAGTAGAACCTCTGTCCTATGGATGGTTGACTATGTGGTCAGACAGTTCAGTTAGAGCGCCAGTGGCGTTGAGATGGAGGTCCGTCCTTTAATATAATAATCTAGGATCAGAGGACTTCATCGTTTCGTTTATTGACGGAATAAGCGAAACAGTATATTTGCAAACGAAAAATAATTTATAAATAAGAAATAAGTATATTTGTACGTATAAGAAATAAGTTGTCAAAAGTTTATTTATAAAATAAACTTTTATAGAAGATTCAAATGCGCAAATATTGCCAGCATTTTTGAGCCCTGAACTATCTGGGTTTCCCTAACTTGACATATATTCTCTTTTGGAACAGACAATAAGTTTTATATAGCTGTAGAAACGAAAAGGATGTGACAATCTCTGCCCAAAATGTCTCGTGTGTGTGCATGCGCGTTCTCCCTGTTCCCGACAGGGTGAGAGCAGCATAGTCACTGCTTGCAAACACCAATCAATAATTCTACTGCCCAAACATAAAACCAAGCCAAAGATTCGCCAAGATGTTGTACAGAATTATTCACAGGTACATTCAACTGTACACATGGCCGGATGATATTTACAATGTCGGACAGTTTCGTTGTACCGGTGGGTATCTGTAGGATCGATGTGCACACCGGCTTAAAAATGTTAAATTTGTTCGAATTTAGAAAATAAAGTAAGATTCACGTAAATCTGTTGAAATTTGAAATTTCCAACGTATAAGATTGGACCTTTTCAAAAGTGGATTTTCTATATAGTAACAATTCGACGGAAAATTGAGGGAGAAATCTATCGAGTTTTTAACGGTTGGATCCGCGCTGAGATCCATGTTCACCGTTGGATGGCGCATGTGGGGACTCATCCCGTGATTGGTAGGATCTCGTGGGCGTACTTTCGTACTGGATTACCGTGGGTTTTGTATATTTAGAAAATTGAGAGAAAAATATATCAACATTTAAAATTTTGGATGCGTTCATATTCATCCTCACCGTTGGATGGTGCACCTGGAGACTCATCCCATGATTCGGAGGATCTTGTGAGTGTGCTTTCCCACTGGATTATCATAGGTTCTGTATATGAGTATATTTTCCATCCTTGAGAAGGTATCATGAGGCACCAATCTAATCTAATCGTTGATTTAGCAGGGGTATGATCGGACTAACAAAAAGAGGTGTCCTTTCTTCGTCGTCCATGCCCATCCAGCGTCGTCGTCGCCAATCGAGGCCACCGCCGCCGTCGTGCATCCAGTCGGTCACCGGCCGCCGCCGTCGCCTATCCAGCCCGCTGTCATCGTCGCCGTTGTTGCCGTCGCCCATCCAATTGGCCGCCTGCCGCCGCCGCCGTCGTGCATCTAGCCGGCCGCCCGCGTCGCGCGTCCAGCCGCCATGCATCCAGCCACCCCCGCCGCCGCCACCGCCGCGCGTCCGTCCGCCCTCCACCGTCCCCCTCGAGCTTGCCGCGTCTAGCCCCCTCCAGCCGCCGCGCATCCCGCCGCCGCGCGTCCGTCTGCTCGCCGCCGTCCCCCTCGAGCCCACCGCGTCCAGCCCCATCCAGCCGCCGCCGCTGCCATCACGCGTCCAAGCGCCCGCCGCCGTCCCCCTCAAGCCAGCCGCCACGCCGCCGCTGTGCTCTCTCGACGTTTTTTCTTTCTATCGTGAAACAGTAAAGGACAGAAATACCCTCCCACCCATAGCACCACTTCAATGAGGAGGTGCAGGACCATGAGGTACGGACGATTTCTGACCGTTGGATGATGCCAGATCAATGGTCAGGATTTGGTACTGCACAACCTAAAGGACAGTAAAAAATCTCTTTATATATAGTTGTACGTAACTTGCAGCTAAATTATATTGTAATTATATACTATTTACATTACAATGGTATTATAATTATATTGTAGTTATATTTGGTATAATTTTAAAAAACTTTATGTTTATCAGCTCCTTTTTTTAAAAAAATATCCAGATTGTGTACCAGATAATTTTATGTTTCACCAAAGCAAGTTTATCTAGCCATCGTTTCTCTCTCGTTGAGCAGGCCCGCACGGCGCGGCGCCACTCGCGCCTCCCACCTGCCACGTAAGCCGCAGACTAACGGCGTTCGGCCGTCAACTCCTCACGGACAGGGATCAGCGACAGCGAGCGTGGAGCTACATAACGCCGTCGTCGTCGTCGCCGTCGCCGCTCGCTCGCGCTGCGCGGCGCGGTGACGTGACGAGCTCCGATTTGTCGGCCGCGGACGAACACCTTGTCGTCGCAACTCGCAAGTACATATAAACCTCACTGTCACACCCACACTTGCCGCTGCTGTCTGCAGTAGCTCACCTACTTCCACCTTAGCTCACCCTCTCCACCGTCGCAGCGACATCGACGGCGAGCTCGAGCTCGAGCTCTGGCTGGTTCTTGTTGGCAAGCTAGCTAGCTAGCTCAGCTCTCGCCATGGGCAAGTACCTCAGGAGCAGCTGCAAGCAGCAGCAGCAGCCGTCGTCGCCGGCCGCCGTGGCGAGCGTCGCCGCCGCGGCGGTGTCGTCGTACTCGTACCTGACGCTGCGGAGCGGGCGGCGCGTGCCGGCGGCGGCGGCGGCGGCGGGAGGCAGCGCCTGCAGGCGGCGTCACCGCCGCGGAGGACGCCGCGGGTGCGCCAAGAACGGCGCCGGGAGCGCGCGCGCGTGCGGGGCGAGGTCGCCGACGTCCTCGGCGTCGTCCGGGCAGCGGCGGAGGTGTGAGGCGGTGGAGTGCTCTCACGGCGGTGGGCGGGCGGAGCTCTCGCGGTCGCCGCCGCTGGGGAATTCCGTCGTCGTCGTCTCCGGTGACGTCGTCAGTGGAGAAAGGTTTGGGTTTAAAAACTTATATAATCATGTCAATTTGACGCCCTCTCCTGTCATCCTGTGTAGTCACTAATAAGCACAAATCTTATATTTCAAAATTAAACCATACGTAAGTCGAAAATTTTATTTTACAAAAGGTAATTCGTGACAATTTTTTTTCTAGCTTAGTAATTAATTACACTGTCAGTCTGTCACACACTCACACTCACACTAATTAACTCTTGCTTCTACTCTCTCCAATTCAGAAAGTCTTTGAAGCCAAATTCTTGTTCCCGCGAAGTGGCGGCGGAACACGCCGGCGAGCACAAGCACAACCCTGCAGCCGCCGCGGCGGCCGGCCGCCGGCCACCGCTGTCGCCGCCGGAAGCGGAGATCGAGGCGTTCTTCGCCGCCGCGGAGCTCGCCGAGCGCCGGCGATTCGCAGAGAAGTACGTATACACACACACATAATCACTCATCTCTCTCTAGCTTGCAAGCTTAAAGCTAAGCTAAATCAAGCTAATTAGTTAATTAATTAATCTGCTTAATTTGCAAACTAATTACACTGCGAGCTGCCGGTTTTGCAGGTACAATTACGACATTGCCCTCGACCGCCCGTTGCAAGGCCGCTACGAGTGGGAGCCAGTGAGCACGTGAAAGGGAGGGGTAGAAGTGTCAACTCAACTCACACCCATGTCTGCAACTCACAAGTGATGCAAAGCTAGCTTAATCATCAGCAGCTAATTATCTGGGAGAGGCTGGGGATCGAGTTAGTGACCTTGTTTCTCCTGCTAATTCTCAATTAGGGAATTAATTAATTACTCCTCAATCCTCATCTCCACCTGTTGTCAGTTGGATCTCACTACCATATATATCTCAGCTCTGTCAATTAATCTTTTGTATAGTTGGTAGGAAATAATCAAGGATAATCCAGGTGATTTGGAGGATGCTTCTGATGAGCTCCCCTCTTGCTAATTACTAATATGTATCTTCCACATAATTTCGCCTAATTTACTGTTTATTACTACTTATTAAGCCCCTTCAAAAATAAGTATTTCATCCGTTTCACAAGGTAAGACTTTCTAGCATTGTACACATTTATTTATATATTAATGAATTTAGACATATGTATGTATTTAGATTCATTAATATCTATATGTATATGTGCAATGCTAGATTGTCTTATATTGTGAAACGGAGAGAGTAATTGACTTTTTCTTACCTATATTCTGATGATATGTAGTAGAGTTGATATTTAATTACACGTACCCTAGTGAGGTTAGAAACAGTAGTTGGTTGTTGGAGTGAACTGAAAATGCAGACAGTGCCAAATTTTGATGTGGCCAAGGATGTCACTGACATGTGAAGGCAGTTTTGGCCTGAAAGAAGAGCATGCAAAAGTCAGATCGAGTACGTATTCGAGTGTAATTTGTTGTTTTGCAAAAATTTGTGCGAGGCTTCTTTGCCTGATATGCACGCATGACGATCACAAAATGGCTGCATGTACGTATGTATATACGTACAAGCAAACACTTGCACAGGCATGTACGTATGTATATGTAGCTTTGCTGGGTTTGTATTGACCTTTTGTGAGTAAATTCACATGAAGCCTTTCAAATTCTCTCTCTCTCTAACTTTTGTTTTCGTTATAGCCCTTTCTTTTTATTCTCTCTCTATTCCATCCAGCACCTGTTGTTGTAGGAGTTAGGCTTTATTTGAGTGAGAAAAAAGCTATTTTCCTATATGGTCATATGGAAAAGATTCAAAAGTACATTTATGCTATATTTTCCTAGATGGAAAAAGCTTCAAAAGTTCATTTATGCTATTTTCCTAGATGGAAAAGATTCAAAAGTACATTTATGCAAGGAGGACCTCTAAAAGGAGAATTAATTCCATGCTTTTCCACTCCTCTCTAGCCCCAATTTGCTTTTGGTCCTAAAAGAAAACTCTAGACTGCTTTCTTTTCATAACCTAGCCATGCATCTATATATGCACTGGATTTCATCTTATAATTACTCTCTTTTTTTTACATAATTCATCTTTTACTTTGCTTCCCTATTTTCCTATGAATTAAGCAGAAAATGTGGATATACAACCCTTTCTTACGCAATAATTAAGTCAAAGTGAGGATTAAACACTTTCGGTTCGGTGAACCGATAGTTATATATTATCGTTCACCCATAATTATTTTAAAATTTTCAGACCTAATTGAAACCTATGGAGAATTACTGTGTGTTCCTACACATCATGTTGATCTTTTACTAAAATACCTACATGTACTGCCTTTGCCTTGACCCAATCTAGTACTCCTACTACTGAAGTCATGTTAAAAACCTGCACTAGTACTTAACACATGTTTAAGAAAAGTCAAAAGCACACATCATCAGTTGGTTGTTGAGGGCATAATTGCATCAAGCAAAAAGAAAACCCCCAAAGGCAGCAAAATTACAAAGGAGATGGAATCTTAGCCCCCCTCCTTTGCACTTTCCTGAGGGGCCTTAATCATTTGGTGCACACACCTAGCTTGGAGAGCTAGGGGCCCTTCACACTTTGGCACTTGCACTTAATTTATCCATTTGAGTACAAGATAGTGATTAAGAAGGTGGGTCAATATAAAATTGTCCTGGTTATTAACCAATTAACCAATTCCAGGTGTGAGCCTTGTGGTTGGCTTAGGGTTCATGCTTTGGATCTGGAGCTACTGGCTACTACCTCAGCTACTGCTTGTCTGGTAGGAGCCAAGAAGCGAGGAGGATCAAAGTGGTGGTATATTCTGAGCATGTATAGTCTAGATCTGAAGAATGTCTGCTTCTTGACAAAGGGGATATACTTCTCCTTTCTATATAAAAAGAGAAATATCCACATCGATACAATAACGTGTGTTGATCCTAAATACGTTGGCCCTGGGACTGCTTAAATTAAGCTTCTTTATGTGGATTTACATGTCGCTGCTTAACAAATTAAGTTTCCATTTATAAAATAAAAGTACATGTACATACAACGAAACAAAATTGCACTATCGGTTACGGAATATAATATATATAATAGATTATGCTCAAATTAATTGAATATATTTTGGCATGAATATATTTTCCAATCTATGTCACTTCTCTAGGCCTTTTTTCTTCTCATCACCTTAAAAAATATACAATGTATAAGCATAATGCAGGCATTATGATTTGTTCCATTGGATCCCAGCAAATGCCACTATTGTCAGTGTACTGGAACTAGAACATATATTATCCTAAACAGTATACATAGCCCTTTTTTTTTTGCTTCTTTTCTGCATTATTTATATCTCTCTGATGGAATCCCCAAGAAAGATGTGATATGAAAACAAGCTTCAGTGTGCACGTGAGAGAGAGTGAGAGGAATGATGCAAGAAGGTACATAGTACATGCATGCATGCTGCACACAAGCACATTCACAATGTGTCACTTTAATTTGTGACAGAGAGAGAGGTAGGCCTTGTTTAGTTGGCAAAAAAAATTTAACAGTGCATGTCACATTGGATATATTGACACACATTTGAAGTATTAAACGTAGTCTAATAAGAAAACAAATTACAAATTCCTTCAGAAAACTGCGAGACGAATTTATTAAGCCTAATTAATCTGTCATTAGCAAATGCTTACTGTAGCACCACATTGTCAAATCATGGCACAATTAGGCTTAAAAGATTTATCTCGCAATTTTCCAGTAAACTGTGTAATTAGTTTTTTTTATCTATATTTAATACTCCATATATGTATCCAAACATTTGATGTGATAGCGTGAAAATTAAAATTTTGTTTGGGAACTAAACAGGCCCATACTATCATCAGGGCTTTTTTGTGGGGCCACCATGTCAGTAGAAGATATGTCTAGGAGAAGAACTGTTGCGCATGGATGGCATCTTCTCTGCCTCGGGATCCGAGATGGAATATACAATTGGTAAGTTAGAGATATGATATCATGGACTTTAAGGACAACTAAACAAGATTAGTTTTGGTTTTGGAGGCACTTTGGTGTTGCCCTGTCAAGGCTCAACCGCTCAAATGTCATTCATGGAGTGGTGATATGAAACATAAAACAGTAGTGGACAGTGTGAAGGGTGCTTTGGTTGGGCATCTTTGATCTTTGATGTGATCCTTTCTAGACAAATCTTAATGAACTTTTTTTAAAGTGTGACAATGAAAGGAGATATACATGATATTTTAGATAATGAAAAGGCATTGACGTATGTACGAAGAGTCAAAGAGGTACAAAGTGAGTTAAAGGGTGGCAAATGCCATAGACATGATGACGGCTTAGTTTAAAAAAAAAAAGACGAGCTTATATGTCAATAATAATGTGTCATATTGACAAGAGAGGAAGGGTAACAACTAACAAGAGTAGTAGAAGAAATCATTTGTAAAACTGCAATTATAATTAACATGTCCACCCTTGCTCAAATTAGTGTGATCATCATGATATCTATTTTTGTTTTTTTAGAGAGAAGATATCTATTTTTGTTGTGTGGTTCTTCACCACGATCCCGAACAATTAATGTCGATTTTCTAGTATGAATTTAATGCGTGCTATATGCCTATATATCGAACACATAGACAATATATCAGGGCAAGAACTAGTGATTGAGACTTGAGAACACTGAAATGCAAAATGATACACCCTCCGTCCCACGATATAAGGAATTTTCAGTTTTTGCTTGTAACGTTTGACCACTCGTTTTATTCAAAATTTTTTTGCAAATATAAAAAACGAAAAGTTGTGTTTAAAATACTGTAGATAATAAAGTAAGTCACAAATAAAATAATTAATAATTTTAAAAAATTTTGAATAAGACGAATGGTCAAACGTTATAAGCAAAAAAATCAAAATCCCTTATATTATGGGACGGAGGGAGTAAGAAAAAAAAAGATTTTAAAAATATATGCAAAAGAAAGCTGCAGATATCTTCGGGCCCAAGAAAGCCCAATTAAGCAGCTTAGCTCAGCTCTATCGCATTCCAGGCCTGTTAACATCCTATCGCGTTCTTTGCGTCCACAATTGCTCAAATTTTCAGCCCAAGAAAACCAGAAAAATTCCCAACAAGTTTTCAAGCGATCAAAACTAATTCACCGACATTCAACGTGAAGAATTATAAACTTTCAACTGCAAGTTTCCAACGTGGAAATTATCTGGAGTATCCACTGGACTCCGGCCCTGTCTAGTTATGAAACTAATCAAATTTCTCCAGATTAAAATTTCAGCAAATTTGCCGTGTACATATATATATATATATATATATATATATATATATATATATATATAGCATGGCGTATATATATGTGAAAGAAATTTTATACTCCCTCTGGTCAAATATTTGATTTTGGAAGAAGTGAACAAATATAAATGATTGGATTGTATTTAATTTATTGTTTGGGGGTGGTATATATTATTCAAAGTGATATTATTTGGGAGTAGGGTATATCAAATTTTGCTAGGAAAATTAATTAGATCGGTGGGTATAGCTAGCTTGCTTGCACGTTTTGTCACGACACGTACGTGCAACTTGCTCCCAAATCTTGCTCTGAAACATCATCCAACACGTCATCGTCGCTAGAGCTGATTTATGGTAATTAATCGTTTGCATTTAATGTAGCACAATCGTAAGGATCAATTAGCAGTATATCGTTTGTTACCAAGATAATAAATAACGTTCGTAACGCCCGCACTAGCGACCGCTACAGTGGTAGCGAACCTCTACCAATACCGCTACAAGGTAGCGGACTGCAAATAGCATATTAGAACTTAGCGTCTACTACAGCGCTTCGCGACCGCTATAGCGGCCCGCTATTTATTCTGTTATATCGCTATAATGATTAAACGGTATGCTCACATGTGGATAAAATAAACTTAGTATTGTGTGCCTTCTTTATCTTATATATTTATATGTTATTTCATAATTTTTTATGTTATGAAATATATGAGTAATTAAACATGCATTCTAAATTTTAAATTTTAAGTGAAATTTGATGTTAATATTGATATAAAATCTAAATTTATGGCTATATTTCTTAAT